TAAATTTTATAAAAAGAATAATAATACTAAAATAAATTATAATAGTGTAATCATACACTATTTTTTTTTTTTCAGAGAAATTACACTTAATCTACTTGTAATTTAGGATGAGTGCATTTAAAAGTTTGTGGTATCAAAATGTATACTTAAAAACCTGTGTTTTAAAATAAGAATAGCTAGACATTTTTACCATTAAAAACCTAACAGAAAACTTCACTTTTTATCTTAATTTCTCTAACGCTCTTCTTGCCTAACACCACTGTCTTGCCCAGCACCAAAAGTTGAATTGTAGTTCGTTTGACCCATTAAAACCACTTATAGTCTCATCATTTCTTCACAATTCATTACCATCCATCAACCAAAATCATAAAAAAACAAATGATAATAATTAATTAATTCATTTATTTTAACTAGCCACATTCAAACTACTTGCATAATTCAATTGAAAAAAAAATTAATTTGCCCATGTATAAAATATTTACAATTAGCATGTACTGTTGAAATTAATTAAAACTAAATATGCATAAAATTAATAATATATTATTTATAACTACAGATGACTAAGGTAAAACCTTTCAATTTTCAAATAAAATCCTTACTTTTTAAATCCTCAACAAGAAACAAAATTTCCAACCACACACAAAAAAGTCGATAAAAGAAAATTAGAAACAAAGTTTCACTTTGGAATATAAATTACAATAGATTAAAAGATTTTGTTCAATTACTTGCAAAGAGTTATTTTGTTTGGTTTTCATTTTCCCTTTAGTCGATCCTTGAGAATTATTATAAAAGACAGTCTGTACGACAGTTGAGTTTTTTCTCTCCTTTTTTTTTTATTTTTTAGGTCAAGAGTATTTAAGATATTGCACATAATTTTAACATTATTTGGATGGCAAGAGTGGTTTAGTACTCAAGGTTTAAAACATAGGTTTTTAAATGCATATTTTGATACCACAAGCCTTTAAATGCACTTACCTTAAACTACAAGTAGGTTATGTGTAATTTTCCCTTTAATTTTAATAAAAAAATCATATTAGTTTTAAATAAAGTAAAAAAAGAAATTAATCTTTTTATCTAATTAGCAAAATTTGTTCATTAAGCTAATATATTTTTATAATAAATTAATTTTAAAAAAAAATATAATAATTACTTAATATTGTTAAAGAT